ATTGGGCACTGTGTTATAGATGCCACACCATCATCCGAAGATGTGTTGCTTGCGTTGAATGTCAGTTTTTGTGCCGATTTGAAAGGCCGCCATGGCACCACCTCCTGCTGCTCACTTTTGTCTCACACCATGGAAATGTATACTCGTTCCATTGGTTGCCAGATTGTTATTGACGTGAAGGACTGGATAGCCAAGTTAGACAAGGTCCATCAGTGGGTAGGTCGAGCATCAGACTTGCCAATGGTATCGCCCCAGTCAGCATGAATGGTAGGCCCCGGAACTGATCCATTAATGCTCATGACCAGTCGCTCGACGCCATCGGGAGCGGCCATGTGCGCAGAAATGTCAAACCAATATTCACGGGTGACGCCAGTGTTGGGCGCCTTCTTGTACCAATCCGTAGAGAGTGAATATTCGCCATCCCAGCATTGTGGTGAGTTCTTGGAATCAAATACGCATGGTTGCTGCGATGATTGGGATCGGCTGGCAAGATCATTGTGCGGAGCGGCATATGCGCTGGCCGTGAAAAGAGCGACGGAACTGAACAAAGCAGCGGCGAAATGCATTTTTGCACTCTCACCGTCAACGGGCGGACGATATCGAATATGGAATCAGTAGATCAAACGAGTGGTCCCCAGGCACGGTGAGGAAACGTTATGGGAACATCCCGAGTTATATACTTGCCTGACAAACTTTACCATGTATCATGACACCTTATCCATATACAGTGCCTGGCTCGAGCTCACCTGTCCAAGGGTTCGATCAAGACCCATCAGAGAATGCAGCGTTGAAGCAAGTCCGAACATAATTACTAGGTGACATATGCACTGACCGTGGTCACGCCAAGGGGCAGTGAAGAATACATGGTTCGACGCCTTCTTGGCCACGTGTGGCTCCATCTCAGCGCGGCCGTGTGTTGACCGGGGATGTCGGCTGTCACTGCATTTTCGCCTCCCATGGTATGCTCATCATCGTGTCTCTAGAGCATTCTGAGAAGTCTCTGCGGCTGTGGCTGCGGACGCGACTATTGTTGTTGGCACGACAGCATGTACTGTAACATGGCATGATGCTGATCATGAAGGCGGAGTAGTCAAATATCTGCACGAATGCTGAGAGCTACATGTTGGACTGATTTCGCGTCTTCTTTGCTGTTGCCATGGTCTACTGAGAAATGTCTCAGTTGACGAATTCGTTGGGATAGCACCATCGGTATGCAGATGTCGGCTTCCATTACGTGGCAGACGTGGCAGGGTCTTTCACCCGTTGATCTACCAAAGCATGTGCCTGCTCTTCGTTGCCATGTTATATTTGGAATACAGGCGGATACAGCGATCCGCAGCTCACTGTGACATATGCGTTTCCCCTGGATGAAGTAGGCGAGCCTCTCTGGTGGGCCAGAAGGAGGCGGAACTTCTTCCGGAGAAGGAGATCGATCCTGTTCGATGGTGTGCCTGTGATATGGTAAGTGGCGTCGGGGAGTGGATGGATTGATGTAAGATGGATTCTGATATGAGCAGGCGGCATGATACTCCATCTCGAGCTAATACAGTAGTCAACCAGACTGGCACCAGATGCAGCAGCATGCAGGCAGGGCGTCGAGGCAACGAGGCCGTTGCAGTAGTGAGTGATCGAGTGAGTGAGTGATTGAGTGGGATGTTGTTGAGCAAGGTTTACGGACTTATGGGAGCAGCCCGCGTCCGAAAGGTTGTTTTGTGCTGTTCTGTGCCCACTGCTGCCGCGGCGGATCTGCCGCTACCGATTAGCGCTCTTGGGGGGTGATCGATCTGCCCTGGATGAGTCTGGGGCTCCCCTGGGCTGCTGCGCTGGGGGTCGCTGCTTCCACTAAACTCCAGACCCGACGAGACCACTGCTGCATTTCAGAATCTTTCCATTTCTTCCCTTCATCTGTCCTCGCATTATGTTGCGTCTCTGCATCTTTTCATTTGTTACATCTCTGCGGGACTTTTGCAACAACAACAATAATTATTCTCACTTGACTTCTTATTCTTCTGCGAAGCTTCAATGCACGATTCGTGCTAATAATATTCATTCAGCACGAGTTTGAGGCTCTTCACCCAAAGCAAAGCAAGGTGAGGCAAAGCAGTGCACATTCATCTACTCTACGCGGGTGCTGCGGGATAGCTTAAAGGTAACCTTTGTTCTTGGTCGCTGCTTGGCCCCTTGGCAGCAGAGCTTCTCCATGGCAACGTATAATGAACAGAGACGACACGGGAAACAGGAAGCAGTTCTATTCAGGCTCGTCAGGGCAGGTCGGCGCATGTCATGTCTCATCTCAACCTCTGGCTCGGTCCTTGCATCTTCCGACAGCTAAGAATACCCCAAGAATCGGTTCTGAGCAAAGATATCAGACAAACAGGCCTGGGCAAGGCAATACGAGCATCGGCGCTCGCCATCATTCTTTCCCAGCCCTAGACCCATATCTCTGGAAAGTACTTTTACACCTACTTCAGCCACCCATTCTGCCTTTTTCTCATGCCCCAGTTTTCCAAGCTACCCGGAACTCTCTTTTATTTAGAACACAAGGCCTTTGGTAGCTGATGATGATCGGATTTGCTCGTCCTCCGAGCCGGAGCCCTGGATATGGGTAGGTATGACACGGCGAGCCAGGGAGGATGTGTGCTCAGGACAAAGTCTAAATTTCCCTCTTCAGCTTCCCCTGGCGAACATGGCCACCTACCGACGCAGTCACAACTTGAAGGGCCGTCTAGTCTGCGTACGACACCAGACATTCTCATGACGACCATCTAAGAGTGTCAAAGTCGTTCCATACGCTCCATCGAAAGATCTGAGAGCAAGTGGCCAGACTCGTCCGTAGGCGCAAGCGAGGCAAGGCCAGGCTCAGGTGCTGAGAAGCAAATGCTAGCCTTGAGAATACCTACCTCCCCATCGTACACCGTACGTATCATGTGCATTGCATGGGCAGTATATGCAAACACGCTAAAGCACCAGCCTCGATCTGCTTGCCTTGCACTGCAGCAGCACGTATGAGTCGTTTCCTCAGCCTCCAGCACACGATGCACATTATGATTTGTCGACGAATGCGTCTCTCGCTTATCTCGCAGCAGCTGAAAAGTGCTACGCGCCTTCATTGTCTCTCGTCCCCTTGCTGCATGCAAACGACTGTCTGCTGGGAAGGTGGCGAGCTGCAAAGTTTCTAGTTGTTTGTATTTTTTTCTTGGCCCAACACTACAGCCTCAAGCTGCTTGAGGCCCTCATGGTACTTTGAGGCAGGGATATTCCAAGAGTCCCAGAGTTTTGGTAGCTACTACGGCTCCGGGGTACGCTCTGGATGCCCGAATTCGACATCAAGTGCCGTTAAGCATGACCATACGCGTTTGGCAGCATATATACGTGTACGTACGATGTGCTCAAGATGCGCATCCATCATACATATACCACCTCGGATCGTCATGGTGATCGGCCATTATTATGTCAATAAACACATGCAAATCTGGGGAATGTAGAGATTACTTTTCAAACAACAGTTCGCTGACTAGAGTGCATTCACGGCCAGACCAGTTGAATAAGGTGAGATTCGAGAAAGCACAGTCGGCATGAGAGCAGATCATTCTTTTTTTATTCTACTTCGAAGCTATTCTCGTTGTGCTCCAGTACTTGTCACTCTCCTCCATAACAATCTTGCCCTCGGCCTCCAAAGGCCCAATGACCTCGACGTCCTTCTGGGGGCAACCCTTGAGGAAGTCCTTCGTGTGCCAGTCCACTGAGGTACATGGTAAGCAGCAAGAAACAAGAGGAGAAGAACGGAAAGGACTTACTCGTAAAGTTCTCCTTGTTTCCTGGGCCCGTCAGCTCGTATAACTGATCGTTGGTGCCAGCAAAGACGATGCGGCCAATATGCGCCCACTGGCGTCAACACGTTAGCATTCATGATTCCACATGTCTCCTTCATCCCGGACAAGAACGAGCTGGCGCCGGGAGAATCGAACACCGCAATCTAACACCAGATCAGACCAGAAAACAAGACCACATACGTAAATAGTAGCAGTGCACATGCCGCATGGCTCCCAGGTACTAACTAGAGTACACTGCCAGAGGAACTCTTTGGAGTAGTGCGTGTAGGCGAGGCGGGCGAGGGAGCTCTCGGCGTGGTTGACCTGGTCGAGGCTCTGGTGCGTCAGGAGGACCGTCTCGTTGTCGGGGCCGAGCAGGACGGCGGCGAAGGGTCGCTTGCCAAACGTCACGGCCCGCCGCTGCACCACCAACGCCGCCTCGACGCCCGCCGCTATCTGCGCCGGTGTGATGGGCTTACGCTCCGGGAACAGGTGCGGCAGGAGGGCGGCCGCGCTGCCCGGGGTAGTCGTCGATGCCATGGCTGCTTTGGTGGGTGTGATGCTTGAGATTCGGGCTCGTTCTGCTCTTATTATTTTGCTAATGAGAAGAGCAGAAGTGCAGGTATGAGTTCAATGAGAGGAACTACCTTTGATTCTGTTGGTGTCCATTCAATGACATGAACAAATGTCCGTTCATATAGGCATGCCAATCACCACTTCAGAGCCTATCGATTAGCTATCCCGCCGGTCTAGGAGCCCGGCGAACGCCTGCGATAAGGAGCACTTGGGCGGGACAGCACCGGGAAGGGCGAGCCGATAACTTAATTCTGGCCGACTATATTTGTCTGGCACAGATGGGCCGTATGATGTATCATTTTGGATAGCTATCATTGGAAATTGAGCTTTAAGCTTGATATTTCTATATTCAACCATATTATATAGGAATTCCCGTGTCGAATAGGCTACATCTTGTAGTATAATTAAGTGCTTGTAGCGTAGCATGCAAGGAAACATTTGAAGAGGGGTCAGCAGAAAGGGATTCTGCGAACAATAATCAAAAAATGCGTCTAAAGAACACAGAAACGTGCTATTATCATGATTTGTCGTGTTCCAAGCGGGGGCGAATGGGTAAGTGGATAATGTAGCTGTCAGACTTGGCAAAAAAAAATTTCAAAAGAAAAAAAAAAGCGACCGATATGGGATTCGAACCCACAATCTTCAGAGAGTGAATATTATTCACGATTTCAGTGTAGCCGAAATCTGACGCGATACCATTTCGCCAACCGGCCCGATTTGGAAAAAGTGGACTTGTTTGCATATCAGTACTGTACAGCATTCCTAGCGATATTGGATGCAGCTAACGCTGCAACGATATGGCCTCGCATCGTCATTTCATATTATTTGTACGTTGACTTGCAGTCTCGAAGTGGCAATTGATGCGTGTTTGGATTTGTTGATTGCAGCACGGTCGAATTCTGGTCAAGTCCTGCGGTATCTCGAGTTGATTCCCCCTCACAAAATCACCGCTTGACTTCTCTTGTGGTGATTGATTTAATGTTGGACAAGTCTTCCCTCTGTATCTCTTATATTTCCAGCAGTTCATCATAGTATCTAGACACGGTATCAAGGGGGCACGGGTGTGAGGAAAATAGACTCGAGACTGCAGGCGCCGCAAGCAGTTGCTCTGAGAAAGCTCGTACTCACACCTGCAGAATACATGATATGAATGATTCGGTACGCTATGTCAGAAACGCGTCGTACCAGATTCAGGTGCTGGGTTGGAAATTACTGCTTTTGTGAGGTGGAACCCATGTGTTGGCTCAACTCGTGGGTAATCAACCATACCTAGATAAGAGATACATTTGGTGTCAACATAACGTGAAATTGACCAAGACTGTGAGGTCGTTTCATCTATTCTACCTATTCCAGTACTTTTCCAGCTTACCTCCTGAAGCCTCATCCATCAGATGCCCCGGTCCGAATTCAATACGTCCGGCAATCTACCTTTGGAACAATATTGTCCGCAAATCCAGTGATTGCGGAGAGATAAAATGCTGCTTTATCAATTCTCTGGAGCCTCATTGAGGTCATGACAGCTGAAACTCTCCACTGACACCTTGGAACTCAGTCAAAGAGCCCGACAGGCTCTTTGAATCACCATAATATCGGAGCCTGTACGTGCCCGGCTCCGCCCATTCCTCCGTCTCCCAAGTGACGGTGACCTCACTCGTGGCAAGTATCCCGCTGGTCCTCTTCCATCTAAACACGAGATGCCAATCATTGTCGTCGCGAACAACCTGCCATGTCTTCCCTTGCTCGCCTTCCAGAAGCTTCTCCACAGCTGCGTAGTTCTGTTCCAGTCTAAGATTGTTCCGTGGATTGGCACCAACAAATACGGCAGACACGGGTGTACCGCGGTAGATGATATCTTCCACATCAGTGACTACATCTCCGAACTTTTTGAATAGTGGGGTTCTATCGTACACCACACCAGGGATGAAGTTGAGGCTGCGATTGCTATTGTCGGGGGGACTGGGTCCAGGAGGCGGCATCGTGTTGGAAGACGCGCTGAGGTATGGAACCAGAGACAGAGTCACATTGATATAAGCAGCCAGAGTGTGAGGTCCATATAGTGTGCTAGCACCTTCATATCGTTGTATCCTAGAACAATAACTGTTAGACGTCGACGAGCAACAAATAAGGTGACAGGTCTGTCTGTCCACTTACTCGTATTCTTCCTCAGTCGTGATGTAGTGAGTGTAGCTGTTGGCAGGTCCTCCAAGTACGACGACCGGAGGAGTGGCTGAACCGGACATGGATACAACCCCATCACTGACCGCGTTCTTCCACCGTCGCCCGGCCATTGTTGTTGCCTCGCCAGGACTGACGACAATGACCAGCTGACCTACGCGAAAGACCTGAACATCCACGACGTTCGGAGTCCACAGGTAAGGTGAAGTCATCTCTCCAACATCCAGCAGGATCGGCTTGGCTCCGTGGCAGACCTTCTGCTCTTCTGATGGTGCCTTGAGTAGACCAGAGACAACTTTCCATACAGGCGATGTGGTATTGGGACCTCCATCATGCTGCGTAAAGTCGAAAGCACCAGGTCCGTCAGAAGTACCCGCAGCAAAGGAGTAGCCCAATGCTGCTGGACAAGTCTCAACTTCTGTACCATTCGGCAGCTGGAAGTGAAAGTTGGACATGTTGTGAAACCGGTGGAACGTCTTCACCCATGATCCGTGAATGGGAGTCATCTTCTCAGATTCGTCATACAGCTGTCGTGCCGACGCGAATTGTCGCCTGCCAATCTCAAAGCATGAAGAACTACCCTCGTCCTTTTCTCGAAAGAAGGGTCCGCGGGCATGACACTGCTGGGTCTTGCCGTCGCTGCAGGTACTGTTCTCGAAACTGCACATTTGGCCAGTTCCATCTTCGCACCAAGCACCAAGCACATTCGGACTGGTATCGCCAACGCTGGCCTGGGAAAATCCGGCCACAAAGTTCTCAGCAGCATTGTGACCGTCTTTCACGCTCTGCTCAAACAGCGAGGCAGCCACACCTTTGTTGTCGCCAGTAATCAATGTGTTGTTCCCGAGCATAGAGGTGCCGTGGGTGGGAAACCAGGTGAGTACGCCAATGTCTTTGCCATCGGACGCGCGTGTAAACTTGAGTAGAGTCAAGTCCTTCTCCACGGATCCATCGTCTTCGCTGCTGATGTTGTAGCGTCGACGTTCCTCTGCAGGGTTGTTGAGATACGCAAACAAGCTGCGGTTGATATTGGCACCAAAGACCTTGGTCGAACCAACACTGAGATGACCACGGCCGAGGCTCTCGTGAGCTCGACGTATTGAAAGCAGGGCACCATCAACGATGGCCCGGTAGCTCTGCTGATCGAAGCCTTTGCTTGTAATTTGAGGAAGTAGATAGTTCAGCCAAGCACCCGGCCCAGAATGAGAGTGCGTCCCAGTCACGGCAAGGTTGTGATGGCCATATTCGGCATATTCGGAACCAAGTTCTTGTAAACCCGACAAGATGCCGTAGCGGACGGCCGTGTCGCCGGATTGAGTGTCCAGAACCAGATAGACAAAGCGGTCAGCAGGTCGCGCAGGGTCGGCTACAATAAAAGCTCGAGAATATAGGCGCTGTCGTAGACCTGAGCCTACTTGGTTCGGGTCCGCATATCCCATCATGTTGATTTCCACAACAGGGCCAGTAATGTCCGCCTTTCCCACTCCCAGAAGGTATCGGCCTGCTTTGTCTGAATGATCTCCCAATAATCCCTGCGCAGCTCCGGCATTGGCAGTTGAGGTATGGCCATATATTCCAGACCATATGCTCAACTTGTGGCCCATGCCAGTAGGCAGCAGGACGGCCAATAGAAGAAGGGGTATGATAGTGATTATAGCCATCCAAATGCATATCCTTCTTCGGGGTTCCCGAACGGCTTCGTGTTGCCTTGGTCGCTGATGCCATATACCATGAACATAATCCTTGACCGTAGGAGAAGGACCAGCCTTCTCTGAGCGCATTGTGTGACGCATGGCTGCGAAGTAGGTATAGAAAACAAGACAACAAGGGTATAAACAAAATTAATACGCGGTCAAAACTTTGCGAATAATCAGCCTGATGGTTGTATACTCAGGCTGAGACTGTTCCGTCGGAAAGGTTTCAAGGTGGGCAATCCTCAAGTAAGGCGGATAGCCCGGACACACGTCGAGGCCCAACTCATGCGCGCCAGGCAGTTGCAATCGGAACGTCGATAGTGTATGCAACAAAGAAATAATTGGGCCATCAATCCTGGAACGTGGAAGTCATGTATTTCGAGTGAGAGAGAGGCTCTATGAGAAAGAGCTATGCGAAGCTCGGCAGTGGCGTTCAATGTATTAGACGAGTTGCCATGTCCCGCTGTCAGCTCAGTCAGCGAAGAGGACTTCAATCGCGCCTCGGTGGTTTGTTTCGTCATAGGTACAGGGTACCTACGCCGTACGTCAGGCTTTCCACCCTTGCGACGATCTGCCTTTTAGCGATGGTGGGCGCTGGAGTCACCCTCTGTAGGCCAACTGGACGCCAGCTGAGCCGCTGCCGATTAGCTGATAAGCCTAGGAAATTCAGCACGTCGGTTGCCAACGGTAAACACCATAACCTACGAGCACGATCTTTGCGACAATCTACTTTCTGTGTCAGTGAATTGCTTACGCTACCACACGAGCTCAGAATACTCAGGCTCACACACAGAGCCACTGTCTAGAAGTCTTCACACAGCCCAATCAAGCTTCATCGAGCGAATATATCACAAAATGTCGACCAGATCAGCAGTACACGAATCCCTCCCCTGTGAGCACACACCGACCCGGGACAGCCTGTGTCCGCCTTCGTTACCTGTACGTTCTACGGCTGACTTTCGCGAATAGACATCGACGCGGAACCCACGCCGGACCAGCGTGCCGCCGCCGAAGCCCTGATCGCAGCCGAGCTGCAGAGCCCCGACGGCGCCGACCCGTCAACGGCCGCGGCCTCGCTCCCGCCGCTGCGCGAGCCCAGCTTCTCGCCGCTGGTGGCCCAGGAGCTGGAGCGCGTGGCGGCCAAGCGGCCGCTCGAGGCCGTCGACCTGAAGCGGTACGAAGAACAGGAGGAGCTGTCGGCGGCGTCGTCCGCGGACGAGCGCCGGGCCGCCCTGGCCCAGGCGTACACGGCCAACACGTACCTGACGTCGCGGCACACGCACCTGTCGCTGCTCGACAGCTTCGGCAAGAACGCCTGGCTCGTCGGCAACTGGCAGACCGAGGCCGAGCTCGCCGCCCTCGAGCGCGAGCTGGCCGACACCAAGCGCGACATTGAGCTCGTCAACAACGCCCGCCGGCGCGCCCAGCTCGACATCTCGGGCGAGCTCACCGGCCTCGAGGACACGTGGAAGAAGGGCGTCGGCAGGGTGCTCGAGACGGAGATCGCCGTCGAGTCCCTGCGGAGAGAGGTGCTCGAGCGGAGAAGGGCAGGCGTCGCGGCCGAGTGATAAAGCAGCCCCGGAAGCGGTGGGCTATACCACAAAGAACCGAGTTCAAGCCCATGCGAGCCTTGGTATTCAAATGGAACGTCAGTGGCCAAGCTTGACACCAAACAGGGTCGACTTGGAATCGCCGCGGGTGGTCGCCTTGGTGAAATTCGGCTTTTGCCTCCGTATGCGAGAACATGCAAACCTTGCGGCCCAAAACAACATGGGCATTGTTTACACGTGGGAGGAATGAAAAGTCGTCATTGATCCATCTCACGGGACAACAAACGTCTCAAT